TTGGTAACACACTACAAGGTAACAATACAAAAATAATGACCAAACGGGGATTTACAGTTCGCGTGAGTTACGAGTTCACGGAGTTCTCCTTGTCCGTAATAATATTAACAGCAGAACAGTCTGAAATGGGGATAACGTATTGTATCACAGTTTGTTGTAGGCACACGTGTTACCAATAGCAATAATAGCAATGACAAGTCAACTGTTGGGCAGACATAACGAAAATCATAGTTATAGGTTCTCGGTGAGCTGGTGGTTTCGGTCCCGTCATACAATTACAACACTTGGAAATAAAGTGTTGCCGGAATAATTTGCAATCAGGAAGACCGCGCTTGAAGATAAATAGTTGGATATTACAAATCATAATCAGCCACTCATCTAATCCGGATCGCCCGATGTTCAGCAAAATAGTATTCGTGTCTGTCGAATTTCGTTTCCGTTTCCGGTCGTTCTCAACACACGTAAGAGAGCGCATCGAATGGTTTGGAGATTCATTCATTTGGTTACTTTTCTGTGGGGGGGGGGGGGGNTGTTGACATCGGGTTCTACTGTTGCATTGTCGTTTGATTAAACATCAACAAAGTGTCCCATCCTAAATAGTCTGCAAAAAAACCTCAACTATTCCAACTCGATTTCAACATAGACGAGGCTTTCGATGTGGTTTACAGTAGGAAAGAAATGAACCTGCTGGAGGGGCTGCGAATATACAAACTGGATGTAATATTTTTCAGTCATACACGAGAACGTTGTCATAGTTGTCTGGAATTTCTATTCAAACAGACTCCGGTGCCATCACGAATGGATGCGCTACCGTACGGTTCATCTCATACTGTTTATCTACAAAAGAACAAAAATCAATAATGTGTTATTTTCCGGCAGCTGTAGCTGACCTGAAAGACGCGTCACAAATGAAGTGCCACACGCAAACAGAAGCTTGGTCGGTATCTATCAACTTGAAACAACTGGTGTGCCGTCGTGACATACTGCACTGTGTGTGGACATGAAAAACCGGTTTGGGAGATCTACGCACATAGAAGACCTCAGGCCTCCCGGAAGGGGACCTCGGGATCTGTGTAACCGATGAATAGGGGAAATGAGTGGGATAGGTGTTTGCCAGAAATCGTCGTACTCGTGTATTTTATCAATCTCTTTGCTATGTTAGTTTTATCAGAAATCTTTGTTTTTACCTTGGCACTGCTTTCAACATTCCAATCTTCTCTACATCCGTTCAAGCAAATGAACAGCTAAAGTCAGCAACCGAAACCGGGACAGTGGAATTGTTTTTCTACAATAGACATATTTTGAGTTTCGTAAATAAGATCCAAAAATTCAATCATCATGCTTATTATAACAATAATAAAAACAATATTTTATAATACGTGGAGAAGATACCTACCTGATAGGCCTTTGGAATTATCTTTTGTAAAGAGTAATACGGATCATCAATTAACTAAAAAGTTATTTAACCCTCGCCAGTGAGTCTCAGACTGAAATTTAAAGATGTCTGTTTCGGATGTGATCACGGGAGCTAACGGTGAACGATGGCCATGATGCGTGAATACCCCATAATGATTCATGATTCAAGTCTCGGCAAGGGGGCAAAATGTATGATCTATTGACGGAAATTAGGAAGGACAAAGCAACAGTCCACTGTTAGTAATAATCTGCCCGAAAATTCGATTTAAAAAAGCAAAAGCACCACAATTATAATCAGATGTTAAATCAGACTTTATCAAGTAAGGTAACTGATCAATTGTCCCGTCGACGTCGTGTTTATTTTGCACATCTACCCGGCTGACAAACAAGTCCCCAGTCAACGACATGTGGGATAACCAGATTTGACGACTGAGAAATAGAAAGAATCTGTTCACTATACAACGNATACAACGTGACCAGGTACGCGAACTCAAACTGTTGGTTGGCTTTTGAATACATTTTACGTCTTATTCTGTCATGCGAGGTCATCTATTAATTTAGCTTATTCTGTACATATTCCGTCACCGATTATCAATTATCCATCTCGAATAGCATGCTAGATTCGAGCTGTTTTCCACGATAACAAACATCCTGTGTATATATGTGTGTATTGTGGAGCGGGGTAGGAGTGAACTCTCACACGTGTGAAGAGACAATCCGCAGAGGCCGGTGTCTGTGGATTCGCATGGATCAAAATCTACTTTGATCGTTTGCAACCCTGATTCGAACGAGTACAAGTAAGAGGGAAATGCTTAGAACGCAGATATTGTATTAGAAATTCGTTTGATAAGTGCTTACGCGCTTGTCCATGTACAAAAACGGCTGAAATCTGTTTGTCAATGAAATAAATTTGATGCACCTGTAGGAAGTAAAACGAATTAAGTGCACGATAAGATTTATGTACCAATCGCTATTTTTGTTATCGATGCAGCTATTTGAGTAGACGTTTTTTGCTTTCCTTTTGAAATATCTTGCAAAAGCTTAACGAGAGCTGAGTGGCTGCCCAGTGATCGTTTGTGATCTTTATAGCCGGGTTTCATATCAAGTCCAGATACTCATTCTGGTACTCCTTCTGAACGATGTACGGAAGAAATTCGTTGAAACACGCATACTAAAGTGAGCATGTGGTTTTCACGAACCAGCGCGAAGCACATAGCTGAATGCTAACTAACACCGATGTTTCTCCCAATCGCTTACACCAATCACCACATTTCGCATTCTTGAAATCAAGTTAGTTCAGCTCAGTTCAGTTTACTCAACCAATAATCATGCCTTGTCCTGCCCCAGTTTGGGAGACTGTCTTTTGTTTGCCAGTTAGGATGAACGAGTACTGAGAAGAATTGATTCTTTAAAGCAATGTTAAGGTGAAAAGAGAGAATTCTGGTAAATTATGGTTGCAGATGGATTGAGATGCACGAGCGACGTTGTTTATGATACTCAGCCATTTTACTCAGTGTCTGTTAGCATCGATTACACTGATCCCGGGGTCCCGAAAAAGGGAACCCCAAATGAACTGTATGCTCAGATTCGGTGATCAGGGTTTTTATCTTCGCATGCCAGCTTATTCTCACATGGGCAAACGTATTGTGAGTGGGGGAGGTGACCGGGTACATAGAACTAAAAAGTCCTTAAAAGAAATGCTTATACTTCACACGAATTTCATTTCATAGAAAATCTTCCGCTTTGTTTTTGAGGTATAGCACACTTAAGAATGATATGCACTGTCCACAACTAAAGAATTGTCAAAGAGGCATCTATTATTCATTTCTCATTAACCTCTAACCTATAAATATTGTGGGTAACGTCGAATTGATGAGTATTTCAACTGGTACTTGATGGTGACATGACAATCAGTTCTGTTCGGCCAGTCTTATGCACATTCAGATGTAGCCTTAACGAAACCAACCTTCACGGATTAATCTACCCGGTTCTCTCTCATACACACATTTACATCTATTCGTGTGCAAATTAGTGACAAAACAAAGCAAACTCATCGTCTTTACACAGGTCCTATCTTCTTCGATTAACATATATATGCAAAGTACAAATCCGAATATCCGAAACCAGGTTCATATTAGGGAAAACCAACGGATATAGCTTAGTGAGGCCAATCCCGGCTGCCGCTGATCGTGAGGAATTTGTACCGCAGATCGAGAACGAACAATGAGGATCTGTGCCCTCGGTTACCACATCCGAGACCACACATCAATACTTGTGCAGGCATAACGGCAAACAACCTTTTATTGAATCAATACACTCGACCACTAAGTGGCTTCCTCTATTGCTCCCATATACCCGCAGATCAGGACATTTTTGGGATTACGTAATCCGAACTTCAATAGACCACTTAATACTCCGTGTAAAACTTCGATGGAGCGAAAATGGAGATTCCGATCAGATTGGTTCACAAAACAAAGCACTGATTGATAGAAATCGTTGTTTATCGAGTCCTTCATTGTCTCATGGAATGAGGAATCACAAAAATCGGCGAAAAAATGAATGTTGGACTCCAGTTTCATGCAGGACCAGGGGGGACTAGATCGGTGCTTTGTTATGTATGCTTACACTCAGTCATCAATTTTTGTGTTAAAAGAAACGGACCGAACTGTAAAGAGCTTTTAACGCACGGATGTGAGATTTTCATTCGCATCGCGAACAACCGGATCAGTTTGTTGTTGTTTTTATTCTCATTTGTCACTCGGTGAGTTCAGTGAAAATCGGATTGCGGGCAGAATATGATGATTTAATCTGATTCGTGGGAGCAACTGAGTCGCCATCCTTTTAGGTTCGTGAACAAAAATAGCACACTAAAGGGGATTATAATTAGTCAGTGCGAGAAATGGGTCATTGAGTAGTCATACTATCCAGATGAAGTTGCGAACTTTCTCCTGGGACATTGTATGGAAAAATCTAACCGCATTCAATGTCGATACTGAGTTGACAAATAAATGCTATTTAAAGATCTAGCCAAATACATTGAGAAAACTGATGGACCAAGAGGTGATGAAAATGGGTACAAGAATTTAAAAAAAAAACAAGGAATAACAACCTTTCAAGTGCCTAATCCGGTAAATAATAATAATAATAAGAATAATAATAATAATCGTCATCATCACGAGAGTCATCATTCACGTCGCTACCGCAAATTACCACTGTTACCACAACCGGCAGCAAATCAGCTTCAAATGACCATGATAATCAATGCTATCCTGACAATCTGTGCATTATATACCTTTCTCGTGTTAGCTTTTCATTGCTTGTTTTCGCCAAGCCTATCGTCCCTCATCCTCCGGGGCATCAACATGTAATACATGAATACATGAAGGACACGCGAGTGATGAAAATAAATGAATAAACCAGGACCAAAGAATTTGGGCTAGATGAATCAGAAACTTTTGAGACACAAGCAAAGAAGTAAGCGGTATGCGGACAGTCAACCAGTCGTGATTGGTGCGATTGCCGATGAGATTTGGTGCTGTTGTCAATGTGGTTTAATATTATCTTTGGCCACGTACAGTTAGTATTCACGGAAGAACGCACATATTTGTGTTTGTGTGTGTATGGAAATACATTGATTGTACAACAAGAAATTTAAACTTCCTCCAATAGCTGCAATGAAAGGATCGAGAAACGAAACAATAAGTTTCAGGAGCGACTGTTTGAGGCGAAATACCTACACTAATTTTAGAAGCCAACTGAAGAGGCTGGAGAAAGTCAAATGGAAGTACGATGGTGTTCTAACATGCAAAGTGGCATGAATGAAACTGACCAAATGGAGTCCCTATGGTCTGAAATCGTTCCACCAGATCCTGACTGAATGAGTTTAGGATAAAGGCCACTTTCAGCCCAATCAAATACACGCCAGGATAAACCTTCTGAGCTGTCATACGAATATCAATACTACGCGCAAGCAAACAATTGGAAGAAACAGATTTATTTATACCTTAAGCGGCGCAAAGCTTCGGCAATGGACATACTGGTCTTTCAAGTTGTCCTTCTTTGCAGTGAAAGCTGCACCGAATCATCTGATTGACGGGTGATGCACACAGGTAGAAACGGCAATTTGTTGTTACGCTACATTTCTCAAGCAGATGTTGTGTTAGAAAGCGTAGTGTAGAACATGCTTAATAGTTCCGTAGCGTTCCATGGCGTACGCGTATCTCTTTATTCGCGGAATTCAAACAGCAAAATTGCGGGCACTCGCAGACGTTAACCCCAAATTTGAACGTTGTTCACATTGAACACTGTCAGACAGTTTCACTAATGGACCACTTTTATTTCATTTACCCTGAATAATTACAACCAAACTGGCGTCTCAGCAACACAGTGAATCTGAGATACAAAAGAATAAAGTCATTTTGAAGATTTCTCTCCGGGACTTGTTTCTAAATTTAAGATGAAAACGTTTACAACAATACAATTTCATAATCGGTACAAGTAGTGATAATTTAATACGATTCTTCCTTTCCCATTTGCTTGCTCTCGTCCTTGTCTGTCATTGCCAGTTCCAGCTTGTTCCGTTTCATCTCTGCCGACCAATCACGTTCATTTCCCCGAACCAAACGCTCCGATTCAGCCAGGGTCTGAGCCAACGGGCAATCACGAGTTTCCGGGAGAAGCGCGAACACCAAAACAGCCCCGAGTGCCGTTATCGCACAATAGATCAGAGTAGGCCCGAATTGTGAAAATCGAGTCAGATTGTTAATGAAAGGAGCCAAAGCACCAAACAAACTGGCCACGGTGTTCACAAAAAAGAAACTTGATGTCCGAGTCGATGTGGGGAAAATTTCGAACACGTACAGATCTATCACACAATAGGCTACACTGAGGAAAAATTTGCCCCCAATTGCCATGACTGCACGAAATACCGGATGTATGAACGCACCAAGCTCCGTCAAACCAACAGAAACGACAGTTAGGGCTAAAAGCAGGGTGATTGACAGTCTGCGTCCACTGTACTCGGATACAAGCCAGGCTGCGATCCCCGAAGGCATCTCACTTAGACCCATGAGAACCACATTGAGAAAGATATTGTCTGTCGCGAACGCATTGTTTGTGATCAGCCCCAGATAGGCCGTTGTGATGGCAACGTGGACAAAACAGAATATGAACAACCGTAATCGTAGATTACGGTAGGTGAACAAATTCAAAAATGAGTCTTTTCTTCTCACGGAACGTTGGTCGTTGGATTGATCTGAGAGTAAATTCCTCCTCATCGCTTCACTTTCCTGCCGTAGGACGATGTGAACCTTAATGAAATACTCGTCAGACAATGTGGCTTTGTTCCATTTTGCAACGCGTTTCAATATGCGAGTCGCTTCTTCGGGACGACCTTGTAGACACAACCACCGTGGTGATTCGCACAGGATAAATGGAAAAGTGATATAACCTGTGAAGAACACACACATCCACAGTCTGAGTTGAACCCAATCCCTAGTGAGGTACGCCATCCCGGCACAAGTCACATAGCCCACACTGAACAGTAACCAATACACATTTCCGTAAGCTGCTCTGCGATGAATGGGTACAAGTTCAGACAATATATTAATGCCTATATAGGCTAAGCCGGGACACAGTCCACGCAGACAGCGTAGGATTAGATGAAATTCGACTGTGTGAGTGAATGGCGTAATCAAAGAGGTCACAATTTGAAACAAAGCCAATCCCAGGAACAATTTCTTTCGTCCAATGGTATCTCCGATAGAGGCCATCAAAAATCCGATTGCGACAGAGAGAAGAAAAACGGATTCTAGCCATGGAACCCATATGCGTCGTTCACACACCAGGTTAAATTGTGTGACCACTGTCTGTTGCATTGGCCTGGTCGCATAAGTCCAGTTTGAACAGGCTAACTGGATGAACTCGTCTGATGATCCCGCGAAAACAGCCCAACAGGGTTCTCGCGAATCGAACCCAGAAGCCGCTTCCAGCTGAGTTCCGTTGACCCGGGACAAATCGATGTTCGGTCGTTCCGAGAACCAGTACACTGTGGTATCGTTCAATGGAATTCGACGGTCTGTGCAGTTGTGTTCCGGTGTGTAGTGCATAAAAATGAGGCTTTGCATTTCGAGTCCAGTTATGAGAGATGTCATTGAGCAGAAGACGAATATGACTCGTATATAATATGCTTTTCCGTATATATGCTTCAGTATAGTTTCGAAATTCTCCGGTTCCGTTTCGGACATTTTGAATCTCGTTTGGTTAACTGATCTACCTTGTTCGGCTTGCATCTGGATCACGAACCATGTGGAAGTTTCGCTCTATGTGTGGATGTGTGCGCGCGCGAAAGGATGTATAAATAGTTGTCATGGCTGATGGTCTGTGTGTGTGTGTGCTCATTCGCTTGTGAATGTGTAAACGAGGAATGGGATCGATTGCTCCAATTGCAGTTTGTACACCAATTAACATTTGATACCATTCGAATTTATATATTGTTTACACTATTATGGATGAGGTTTTTCTACCTAACATGTGAACTGGCACGGTCTTAATAAGACACCGAATCACATTTGATTAGGCGGATTACATGACTGCTGATCAGACAGATTCTCATCAGTGACTGACAGAAAAGGCGGTTTTCCTTCTTTTTTCGATTGTTCGGCGAATTATGTTGATTGTCCTTTTATTATTTTTCCGCCTGGAATACGAGTATTTGTTACTGGCTGCACAACGTGATGTGTGACGCATTGGCTTTGAAGAACACATTGCGATTACGGATCTGACCGGTAACATCCATCAGCGCATACGTGAATGGTAAATAGATTTCGTTTTTACCGACCTTGATCGTGGGAAGTGCGTGTGCTGGCACAAAACACACACTGTAGTCAACATTATCACTAACCTGGTGAACTAAAGTTTACTGGTTTGGAAAGACCTGTCAAGTTAGAGATGACCTAGAACGCTGTCCATCAGTTCGAACGGTGTTTCATTACCATTGACTACGGCGATTTTGCTTAGCAATAAGCCTTAGTAGCATCATCATTGACTTGGTAATTTGATGAACTAGCGGATTAGATAATTACGATAAAAATGATATCACTTGGCCAACACTAGTTTGATGTTTTTTATTTGTCCGAGCGCATACATGTTCGCTCTGCATTATTCGATAAAGGCGGGATTGAAAATGAGTACCAATTGCATACAATTGAATTCCATTAGGTAAGATTTCCTTTTCTACCTCATGGGTAAAATGATTCGGAACGTGTTTTGATTGTAAATACCTGCCTTGAGAAAAGTTACCCAAGGTAACCGAAACGTCGGCGAATATAATTCTCTACCGACATTCACAATATTTCATTATCTTTCAAATCCACATTCAGACTCCGGTCTCTGAATCAGACAGTTAACACTGTTATGCCAGTCCACTGGATAGATAGGATATCCACTGGACTTTATAATTGTGTGAAACATTTATTGTATTTGCCGGAAGAAAAACAATCCACAAGAAAGTCGCTCAAAGCTGCACATGAATCGAAGATTCTCCAGTCCGTTTCTTTTGACAAATGCACCGAAATACTGAGAGTCATCAGCTTAGTTTGTATGTATGTTTATATGTTTGTGAGCAAGGTAGATTCCAATCATGTGAAAGTACAATATTTTAGGACGAACAATCAGCGCGATAACACGTTCATCTGTTCATTCATTTTCAGTTCTTATTTCTTGAACATTCTGTGCGAAAGTTTGGTGAATTTTAAATGTGCATTATAACATTTCACATCGTGGAACAGAGGGTGTCTGAACATTCTTGCATCTGAGATGGCACCTCCAAATCTGAATCACAATTCCATGTAGATGGAACAACGCTTCGAAGTATGACGTCTAACCTGATATTACCTAGACGATACAAAGAAATTTACACAGTTCTTGCACTTGATTGAAACGCCTACTTATCTTGAACTTTCTCATTTACCTTGTACATATTGTGAGCTTGGCGGTGATCTGCAAAGTTCGCTTCATTGTATCTCGTCAAACGCTGACGACAGTGGTAGTGGTGGTGGTGGTGGTGATGATGATAATGATCATGATAATGACTCGGATTAGCATCATGATGATAAAATTCTTATTCTTGTTTCCAAACGATCCNCGATCCACGTGTGGTTTCCCCGCCTGGTGTTTTCTACGACAACTCAATCAGTTCCTTCAACACAAGAAGACAAATGTGGGCAGAATTGATATTGGCCATCAATTTCGCGTGCTCCCATTCAGCTGTAACGACAGATTTGCGTGATCATGTAAAAAAAAGAAGCATAAGAATTGAAATGAGTTATGTAAACAAAATGGTGGACAAGTGAGTTGAGTGATTTGTGTTTGGTTAGGGGTTGAGGTCAAGTAAGATGACAAAATTTGATATGATGGTGAACTGGTCCGAACGATGTGGTGAATGTGGTGAACTAGGGAGGGGGAGGGAGGGNGGGGGGGGGGAGAAGGGAAGGTCATGTCACGTGATACTATGGCAGGGTGGTATCAAATATGATGTCATCACTACCACGGCAACAATAGTTGCGTCAGAAATGATTTTTTGGAACACATAATTGCGGTTTTAAGCGATGAATAATTATCAAACTGACATTAGAATGTGAATCAGAATACAAACTTCCTTTCCTTGACTTCCTACTCAATCGAATGTCGGACGGGAGGCTACAGATATATGTCCAAAGTCTACATGGACAGGACATTATTTACAGTTCAGGAGTTTCTGCCCTGTGGGATACAAGTGTGGTCTGGTGCGTACTCAAAGTTCGCCACCTGTGTAACTCGTAAGTCCTGCCCGATGAACTAGACCGACTGACCCATGCTTTGTTAGATAATAGTTATCCCATCACATTGATTCACAAGTAAAACAAGTCGATCAACACCAAGACTAATTCCCTATCGGCTAAGAAGAAAGATGTCGATATAGAACTGCCTTTGAAGGGAGGTGATGTAACAACAAAAATATCTCGACGTTTAACACACGCCGTGGAAAGGACGTACAATACCACAAGACTAATGATTGTCTACGGGACGTTTCGTTGTCTCACGCGCACTAATCTGAATCGAAAAGATATCAGTGTTACCTCAAAATGCATCTATTCATTTCAATGTACTTGCGGTCAGCGGAACATTGGCAGGATAGAACGTCACTTATCCACCAGAATGTGTCAACATATTCCGAAACACCTTGGACTTCGTGGAGGAAAATTACCATCTAGTGCAATTGCCCGCCATTTGTTAGATTCCGGTCGCCATGTCGACGCACCCGATGCGTTTCCAGTCGTTGCTAGGCCTCGAGGTTCACGGACTTTATGATTCTTAGAAGCGATGCTATGCTCATCTCGTTCACATTTTTCTCAATAAACCAACTGTCCATTGGATATTCTGTCGAATAATTCTTTCTATGGAAGTCCATCGCATGAAAGGAACCTTTGTGCACTTCTCTTCTTCCTGGAATCTGCTGTTGCCGTGTAGCCGCGTTCTCCAAATGATCTTTCAACTCTCATTACGGATGCATCCGTTATTGAAATGGGTGCCATTCTTGAGTGGCTCTAAAGACTAGTCATTTGTATTACAAGACGGTCTGCAAATACAACAGGAAGTCTTGTCAGCTTACTGGGCTGTTAGAAGGCTACTTAAATATTTATTCGGTCACAAGGTCTCTCTGTTCACAGATGGCAAATCAATACATGTCATCCACATGTTTCATTAGCTAAATCTTAGTATGATATATAACCCTCAGTTTTGCAAATGTTTTGCGCTCTATCCTCCAGTGTATTCAAGAAGTAAACCTTTCGTCCAGAATACCATTTACATCAGCACCATCAAAGACCCAGGATTTCTCATCAGTACAACCACTTCTTGAATGAGGTGTAATCCTTGTTTTAGATACAAACCCCAGTGCCAGATGGATTGCTGATTGCCGGCCATTCATTTACTTGAAGCAGTTACACATGAGCTATGTTTCAATGAAATGTAGCCCGATAATAGTTACTTGCAGTCTCTCATTTTCAATATACTTCTTCAAATTAGTTCAGCGCTTCAACGTATTATATTCACCTGTTTTTTTCTGTGACGTTTCTCCGTCACAGTCTAGACTCATACATAACCTTTTCATTGCAATAAATAAAAATTATTTTTTTAAGCAAACTGAGGTGATTGCTCATGAACTATGAAATCTTTTGTTTTATTGAACACGATATCCTTGTACATTCCGAATTTCCACTCATTACAGTTCCATTCCGTCGCTGAGTTCTGTCTTTTGATTTCATTTCGAGTCCTAGTTCCGGGTTGGACTATTACTGCGCAGAATCCGATATGTATACGAATTACTAGTCCGAGCGTTAACCGTAACACAAACATATTTCGAACTTGAAGAATATGTTGCGAAAAATTCTACACAAAGAAATTGCCACTATTTAAATAGTATTTTACTCCATTTGTTTCAGCTGTACACTAATTGTGGATTTCATAAGAAAAACTATAATCTGGTGATTTTGTATGAACTGAACATTCTTGTTTCCTTACATAATCGGTTGCCTTTTTACATTTACGGCATGTTATATAATTCGATTTCAAATATTCCGGTGTATTATTTCATACTGCACACTAGTTCCTTTGGAGCTTGAATGCGCGAATTTATTGCTATTCTAATTTCGATACCAAGTACAGATTATCAAAGATAATCTCCTCCTTCTCTATGTACATATTTCAAATTTCAAAGTTTTATTATGGGAATAATTTACGAGCTCATGCTATTCTCCGTTCAGAGTTTTGTGTTTGGGTTATGAAACAGCGGTGCGTAAAATTCCACTTGTAAAAATGTCAAGTGATACGGTATTTTTCCACTGCTGCACGCAGCATCACTTATTTTGGAATGTTAAGCGTGCCAATGCTTCATTCAGTCTCTTTTTGAAAGATTCAACGTTTGGCGCGCAGACGACGTAGGCTAAGAAAGAGTTCCAGACCTATAACTGCGAATGACTGACGCCGGCATTCCAGTCGGCATTTTGAGACCACTAGTTTGAACGGATGTCCTCTGAGATGAACGCTGAGTGGTAGGTTTAGCAACAGGCGACATGGATGGATTGAGTTTTTGCATTATTTGGTATACCATATTGATCTCTCCTCTGATGCGCCGGTAGTGATTGGAATATAAACCCCACGACTCCAGTCTCTCTGCCTATGAATGGCGATTCAACCCCTTGGCCATTTTTGTGACCATCCTTTGTGGACGCTCCAGCATTCTGCAGTCACGTTTTAGCCATGGATTCTATGCTTGAATAGCCTAATTTGTAAGTGGGCGAATATTTGCTGATAACAGAGGGGGTAAAAGCGCTGAATCAAACCGGCCAAAGAAATGCCTAAGCAAACTAACATTCTTTACAGCTGCGTTCGACACCTTCGGACAATTAAGTGAGTAGCTTAAGTCTTCTTGAATGATGATGCCCAGGTCCTTCTCACTTGAGGCATGTGGCGGTTGTTCATTTCCTACGAAATACGAAAATCGCCCATCATGTCGTAGAGATAGAACCTTACACCAGGGCATATTGAATTCAATATAAGAGAGATAAGAGATAAGCTGCTTTCACAGGTTCCTGGAGTGTCGGCGAGCCCGCTGAAGGCGTCACTGGATTTCAAATTTTTGGCATCATCAGCAAACAGTAATGATTTTGAGCCTAGAACCAAACACTTGATCATACTGGTTCTTAAGCATTTCAGCGGCTTCCATTGTATTGGCTGTGGCTCTTCCAGAAGAACTGAACACCGGCATTCTATGTTAAATTTTTTGAGCTGAGTTAACAGGTTGGTGCAAAAGATTGGGGTTTGAAATAAATCACTGTGCTAGAGA